TTTATCCAATCATAAAATGTAGTTTAGATCAGGTTCCAAAATGTCTTCGGAGTTTGTCTAAAAACCCTGATTTTTCTGACCACTCCACGAACAAAAAAAATCGTTAAGGCCTCGACCGAGTTAGCCAAATTTGAATTAATTCAAACTTTCTATCGTTCGTATGTTGAAATACACAAATTAAGAAAGCAGACAGAGTCAATGATTTCTATTGGTATAAAAGGCCCTTCGATTTGGTCGTAAGATTTGCTCCCCAAACAAAAATTCTAGCAAAATTCTAGGGAATCTGACCTAAAGAACCCTTAGGGCTATCAAAAATGGAATTATTTAATTACAGTTATTTCTCAAAAATGGACCTTAAGAAAAGACAAATCTGAAAATTTCAAATTCCTTAAAATTTTCAGTTTTTTTCTAAATCATTCAGTTTCTCTCGAAATTTTCATTTTTGTTGTTCCATGAGTCTTCAATATGTAATTTTTATTGTTGAACTATTTTTTTATAGATTAAATACTTAATTTTAATTTAAAGCTACGATAGCAGGTTACTGTGCAAGTTGCACAGGATTTTTCGACGACCATATTCTTAAAAGTGTGCAAAAATTTTTTTCACGTTTTTCTTCAAATGAGGCTTGTTTTTGTGCGTGGTGTGATGAAAGGATCTGAAACGAAACCTTAATTTTAGGTATATTCGACAATCACAGTAAAATAGTCAAATCCTGTAAAAGTTTTCTATCGAAAAAGGACTGGAAAAAAATAAAAACAAAATTCAGAAACAAATTTTGAACTTTTTTTTATAAATTTTATTGAATTTTTGAACTATTCTTATTCCAAAAATAACACTAAGAACTTCAGAAAAATTTATCAAAGGTTAGCGGCTTATCCTTCTATATTTCTATATTAAGCCTGCTTGCTTGATTTAATTGTTCGAAATTAGACTAAAACTCAAACCGGTATTTCTAGACATTCGGACCATTTCTCGATAACTTTTTTACAAAAATACAAAAATACAATGTCGTTCTTATCACGATTGAAAAGACTTTTGAAATATCACTCGACCTCGAGCCATTTGAATGATTAAAATGCTGTACATTTTTTGTTGAAATAAATGAACTTATTCACCCACTCACTCAAATTATTCGCTCGAAAGTAAAACAAAAATAATAATTCAAACCGTTTTTTCTCGACACTGAGATAATTTAGTTCGAAGTTTTTTCATGTTCTTTGAATCACGGCTAAAAGGGCTCTAGTATGATTTATCACTCGACCTATTCCGATGATTAATTGTGGTACCTGACTTTGAGTGGAAAACGAAAAAAAAAAAGAAAAAGTCAAACACACCCGAATACAAAGTTCCTCATTTTTCAAATAGTCGGAACAAAAATGTTACTCGCTTGCTTGAAATTAGACTAAAAAACAAAAAAATTTAAATTGGTTTTCTCGAACTGCAGAAAATTGCGTTTAAGATATTGCAGAAATCATCAGTTTGCAGAAAGTCCATGAGTCCTATTTACGTTAATAAATTTTGAGTCACAATTTCCTTAAACTCATAGCAAATGAGGCAAACTAATTCAGCTCAATATTGTTTAAATTGAACAAACGCTGGCTAGCCAATCCAAATATTGAGATATCAGACGCAAATTTTACCATTTTGAACTTAATATTGCGTTTCTGGGAAAGATTTTCAAACAAATGGAAAAAAAAGTCGCCCAAATTTTGGATTTTTTTCATCCTCAAACTATATCCGCTAATTTTAAGGACAGTTAGAACATTCGGAGCATCGCCTTGATAGGAGCACTCTCTTTTCCAGTTTAAAGTTCAGTAGAGCCATATTCTATAGTCCGAAGCTTTTTCAATTTTCCAACATTTATGAAAGGAACTTGAGCATATGAATATTTGTTCAAACCAATTAAAATTGAAAATACATTCAATCGTCAAATCAGGGGTGGATTAAGGATGGGGGAGGGGCGGGTCGCTCCCTCCTCACCAACCAAAGGGTCCCTCTTTTGCTATTATTTTACGACATCAATTTTCGGCCAAAATCCTAAATTTTTCTGAGGGCGCCTATATATACTAATTTTGTTTCAGCGCGCGCCGAAAAAACGCAATTTTTGACCTCTTTCTTGCCCCCAATCGAGAAAATCCTTGCTCCGCCCCTGCCTAAAATGCTTAGAAAAATTGTTTTGAGCAAGTTATTGCGTGCAATTTTTCTTATTACTTGAAAAATTACCTTTGCTTCATTTTAAATGTTTAAGAAAGTGGTGGAGATTGCTGTATACTTCCCATCTTTTTTAAATGTTCAATACGACATTTTGGTACAAAATAAAAAACTACTATTTGCGATATCTCCACTTAAGCTTACTGAGAGCGTACTTTGATCTTAAAAAAGCGAGCATGACACAAAGCACCAAAACAAAGGCTTCAAAAATGATAAACCACCATAAAAATTGACATAAGTATCTATTTTTCACAAAGAAAAAAATGTACACAGCCGTAAGAGATGTCGTCACAACAATTATTAACCACTTTCGATGCTAGAATATCAATAAAGTCGTGCCATATCAATGCTCATAAAAACAGACAGTGAAACAATTATTTTATGCGTTTTTCAAACTGAAAAAAAAGATTTCAAGTGGAACGAAAATTTTCCAAGCCCTATTTTAAAGTAAAAAAACTCAGTTGAAAAACACGATCAAGGTCAAAGAAGTGGTTTAAAAAACAGTGAATGACTGGATTCCTTTCCGTAACAGTTTGAGATGCAATCATAATTTTAGATTAGGACATTGTGAACAATCTTCCCCTCCCCCAAATTGATTTAGAGGGATAAAGTTCAATTGGTTATTTCACTTTTTCGCTAACTGAACGATGCGAATTTTCTAGCCATCACAATGCAGTATTTTCGAGATAAACAGAAACAAATTTGACCGCTTATATCGATAAAAGATATATTTGACCGCTTAATTAAAATTTGTCCACTTATATCGCCGCTTACGCGTTAACAGTGTATTGTCGCAAACTGGTTATCTACAAACCCCCACAACTTTGCAAAAAATCATAGGTGAATTATCTTTTTACCTTTGAGCTCAGGACAACAATACCAAAACCTTTCCAAAGATATAAAAAGGTCAGTCAAAAATTGGTTCAAATTAAATTGGTCGATGTGGGGGAGGGGGTAGAGGATTTTTACATGTGCCTTAGATTATTTGAGACATAATTAATCATTTATTGCTTTCCTACGAGAAAATGGAAACAAACAAAACAAGAAACTGTGAAGTTCAGTTCAGAAAACCTTCGAGAAACAGATAAAAAATTTTGCAACAAATTACTGAAATGAAACTTTTTTGTAATTTAATCTAGTAAAATTATCTAGAAAAAGCTGTTCTGATGATTAAAAAAATGAGAGAGATTTAAAAAAAACACGAGCTATTTCGACTCTACGATAACTAAATACTCCAGTAACTATTTAATTATTTTAAAAAATCATTGAAACATTCCTTGGCTATTTACTAGACAAAAAATTACTGTTTTAGCAACGCTAGCTAATTCCAAGCATAAACCAATAGACTAACTAAAATGTGTCAATGAACTAACAAAAACTACTTCAACCTTAAATTCTTTGTAAAACCTCTGTTGAAAACTTAAAACAAGATACATTTGGCCCCAATTTCAATTTTTGTTTGCTAGAGAGCAAAATTTGCTTTCCATATAGTAATTTATATTAAATTTAATTCAAAAATTCAACAAGGCTGCTAGATTAATATTGAGAAATTTGTTTTTGAACATAGACAAAACACAGTTGGAAACCAGTCACGAACACAGAGCAACAGAAAAAATACTGGCTTATTTTTTGAAGCAACTTCACCTTGGAATTTCAGAGAAAAATAGATGGTCTTGAAGCTCTTTGAATTTCAAGAAGAGTTATACCTGACCCTTTTATGATAAAAATTAACCCAATTTAAGAACAGCGAATCAAAAGAAAAAAACTTCTGGAAAAATATGTGGCCTTAAAGCTCTTTGAACTTCAAGAAGAGTATTTCCTTCTCACTTTTTTCATAGAATTTCCTCAATATGAAAAAACTGGATCAATATGTAAAGTTTATATTCCGCTGGGATATCTTAAAAATAAACTCCACTTTCGAAACTCGTAGTCGATCACGTTTTTCGTGACCTTTACAATTTCGCTGTTCAATAGTGGAGTTTGCATTTCTTTTAACATGTGAACTCAAATTGAAATCAAAAATCGAACCGCGAAAAATCAAATTTAAGCATAATAACTTTTAACTTTTTCCTGAAAACAAAAAACAAGAAAACCACCAAGACCTATATAATCGACTCTTAAAAATACTATTTCAGGCTCCGCATTTGAATACCAGGCCTGTTGATTAGAAATCTCATGTTCTCCCATCAGCGTCACGGTTGCTTGGAACTATACAACAATAGCCACCAATAAGGCAGCAGCAGATGCTATTAATTTGCCCATAGTTCAAAGGCAGAGGCGAAGCTTCGCTTCGCTAACACTAACGAGAACACGACGAAAAAGCAGCTCGATAAAGTTCAATAAGAAAAAATATAAATTAGCCTCGAATTAGCAAAAATTTCGGCTAAGTCTCATACCCTAGCCACTCAGCCACAGAAGCTTACAAGCTAATAGCCAAACACTAGTCAAAAATCAGAAAACAGATGCTATGCTATTTCCAATGCTTCAGTAAAATTTTCAAATAAAAGAACACTTTTATTTGCGAGTTAGGTTAGAAAAAAAAGTTCGTAACAATACACTAAGCTGACGCTAGTGTAAATATACACTAAGCTGACCCCAACAATACACTAAGCTGACCCACCAATTAAGCAATTTTATTCACGATTTAGGATGGAAATATGTTGTTTCGTAGTATTACACTACGCTTCGCTTGTATAAAAAAACCACGAATGGTTTCGTTCAACTCTTTAGCAATCAACCTAATTTAAAGCTTCGCATTGCTAACCAACTATCTTAACGAGAAAGAAAACTCTGAAAAAAGACATTGAATTTGTAAGATACTTTGATATGTGGCTAAAATTTACGCTGGAATTAAGTTACTGGAATAATTGTGGGATATGCGCTATCGCGATACAAATAAATTGCAATTAGATTTCGTAATTTTTTTGATAAGAGCATAAGACTGCTTGAAGCAATTTGTTTATAAAATAGAGTGAAAGTCTATCTACACGAGAGCGAAAGAGTTGTTGGGGCTGCTTGACACTGAATGTTGATTGGAGGATTTCTCAATATTGTATCTTCTACTATTTTGGGAAGCAGTGATATGCACTGGGATTGAACTCTGCTGCGAATAACTCGAAGAAATATCCGAGAAATCCGAGTCTTCGACATCTGCGTCGGTAGGGTAGCTTGTTTCTTCGTCACAAAATCGGACTTTGTTTTTCATCGACGACTTGCGCCTATGACCCAAACTACTCAACGTGGCGTTTGAAAGCGCCGCCCTTTCATTCGGATTTCGAACTGCAGATTCGCTCACTTCGCTTGAATCGCTGCTTTGCCTTCCTCGATGTAGCGCTCCAGTAGAAGCGTAGCTCACAGGTCTGTTCTGAGCAACGAAAGTCTTGTTGGGTTTTCGCACCGCCTGCGAATGCGAAACAACTCCACTGTCAGAAGCCTGCTGGTTATTGTCAGCTTCACATTGGAACCCCGCTGGTGGACTCTGATGATAGACTCTGGACATATGCACAGGTGTGGTATCACTTTGAAAGGGTCCACTATTAGACACTCCCTTTGTGACCCCTGGTAAAATGTCCGTCGAGGGGTCAAACACTTCGTCCACTCTATTCAAAGATCTGTTAGACGCACCCATCTGACCTTTGGGTTTAAACGTTGAGACTGCCGGCGGCTTTTCTCGTAAAGCTAGCGGAATATTTCCACTATTTAGACCGTTTGATGACTTAGAGCTCCCCGAAATGTGATCGAGACTGGCCGACGGTTTCACTCCTCGGCCTAGAGATCCCATAAAACTTACTGGGGAGGGCTGGTTCAAATCATAAGGTGGAGGCTTCAAGGGTCTCCTGGCTTGGGCTAATGAACTGTGCGATCCCAAGCTTACACTGGGAGACGGTTCCTTGTAAGACAAGAAGCCTGACGTAGGCGGACATGCACTCGAAGTAACTGCATACGATTGCTGCTCTTGCTTATTCGCCAGTTGCAGGAGCGTTGTTGTTGCTGCAATAGGTGGCGACTCCTGGATCGAGGATCCTAGGCCTGAATCAATTTCAAGCGGACCATGAACCCTGATTAGATGCTTCGACATTTCCTCCGAAGTTAGACTTCGATCTGAATTGGACCCATTAGGGTTTCCACCACTGCCAATGAATGCATAACTGCCATCTCCAATTGCATCTAGTGTAGTACTGCGAGGAATGTATTGCATGCCATGGGAACCCAAAGCCATCGGATTGCCTCGAGCTGCCTGTCCACTGAAGTACATTCCCAGATGACTGGAGCTGTCGATCTGGTCGCTGGGAATGACGTGGTGCGATGGAACATGCATGTTGGCTCCCGAAGTGTGTCCGAGGGTTGAATATTGCACGGATTGAGAGTCGGGGTCGATGTGTATCTGCTGGTTTGACAGTTTGTGCATTTGAGAGTGCAACGCCGCGCTCGCGCTTATAGGGGGCAATGAGTTGCGATGATTCACTACTTGAATCAGTTGCTGCTGGTTACTGGAAACACCGCCGCCCACTCCCCCACCCCCGACCATCATTCCTCCCCCTTGCGCTAGTCTTTGCTGCGATTGGTGATGTAACTGATGCTAAAAGACATGAAATATTGCAGGACTCACGCGTGACACATAATTCTGTAAAGTATCGCAGCCAGTGAAATGTTTCACTTTTAGGCAAGCATTCATATCGCTTAATTTTGAAACGTTGCTTCAAAACTTACTGTTCTATACCCATTTTAACGGCAAGCATAGGATGAGAATATTTAGGTCATAATTGCACTAAACCATACTTTGTATCAGAGAAAAGCACGCTTTGGTTCTAACGTTTCTGCGTTATGATTATGGACTACCTTACCTTGTAGAGCTCTTCATTTAGACAATTGCGTTCATACTCTTCTTGAGACGCAAACATCCTCTGGTTGTTCGATGCAGCCGCGGCTGCTGCCAGGAAAGCTGCTGTGGACGACGGCGACATATTGTCCGATAGAGTTCCTGGGTGTCCCCCGATGTTCATTGGGACACTGCCTCTATGCTGCTGGAACTGTGTGCCATGTACGAACATGCGATCCAGCGAAGTCTGGTTCCCATTATAGGGTATTGTGTTGACACTGTTGCTGTGACTATGACAAGGGGGTGTGGTCTGGGAACAGTCGAGGGAATTGTGAGACATCTTGAGGTGGTCCACATCCTGGTGGGTCGAATTGGGCCGCACTTCCACTTTGTAGGGCGGCGCTTTCGAAGAAGCATCTTTGTCTTAAGCAATTAAGAAGAATTATAAAATTAGTTATAAAGTATGAAACAGCCAACAGACAGTTGGAAAAAGTCAATGAACGCCAGTAAATAGAAAAAAGTGTAGACTTTTTTTTGAAAAAATCTCAACTTTCGAGTTAACGAAAAAATATTGCGTTAACTGATAAAAATAAACACGACCTAAATGAGAGTTTGAAGTACGTTCATCGACTCTTAAGCAACTGAAATCATTACTTTACCTTCTGACAACTTACTTAGAAATATAAAAATTTAGAGGCTAAGGATCTATATCTTGGCAAGAACTGAAAAAATTATATTTGAAAAAAATGAACCCAGCAGGAATACTAATCGGATTTTTTTCGTTGACAGTAGGGAAAACATCAAAGTGAGCTAATATACTACTGATATCAAGGAGAGCGAATAGGGAAACCTTTCAGAGTTAGGACTAAGAACCGCGAGTCCGCCCGAAAAACCACTTGAAAACAGTATAACTGATGCGTACTATGTCCCCTGACAATTGCGATACTTTCTGGCGAAATTTGTCCCAAATATATCGTATGCGCCATTTTAAAATTAATGCTCTAAAGCATTGTTTTGATGCGATGACAAGATTCCCTGTTGTTTTGATCTCATCCTTTAAAATATTCCTTAATCGTATTAAGCTTTCTGGTCTTTGAACAGCAGTTTTAGTTATCTAAGGGCTTATCAAAGTCATTCAAACGGTCGCACCCGATACTTTTGCATAAACGCAAGCCGTTTCTTATTTCAAATACTCATTTGTGAACAATTTATAGGCGAATACAGATACTGTATGAAGGGTAGGTTGATTTCAGGTGACTGCAGTGTTTGCATAATTTGCATGGACTCATTCGAGATACAGGATAATAAAACTGATCTGGTAGCATTCTATTTTTTGTGTCTCGTTACAATACCTGTGTCTGACGTTCCGTTCATTCCACTCAGAACTACTTTGTCAATCTCTGATAAAAAAAAGAACAGGCGTCAATACTGTTCGCGTCAAAACGCAAAAATAGGGTAAACCGATAATAACGGACATGAATACCATTGTCTGATTTGATTACTTTCCTTCTAATTTAGATGATTTTTTAATTAAAAATGCGCATGATTTTTTAATTTAAAAAATAGCTAGTGTCATGGCTCTCAGTCATGCGATCAGATGTTCGAAGCCCAACTTTGATCAGTTGCTAGAGGGGGCGTGACAGTTTTACAAAAAATGCAGAGCTACGCAAGATGTTATATCAGGATCAAGTAAACACTTCCATAAACCCCTCCCCCAAGACCCAAGAAAAGATCTGCCTTCCTACTAATTAATTTGTATTGAAACTTCTTAGCGCTAAATTAATACACTGCCTACTAATTGACTAAAAACTTCAACTCAGAACTAAATCATCCCAGCCACTAAACCTACTAGTGAGACGGATGTTGACTTTATCCCACTATCTGGCTGGCGCTCTCTTTGGCCATTGATCTTTGCTACCGTATGGCGGGTGATAGTCGCTTATGGTTGCGGTGTACGGCAACTACTCACTTCTGGCTCTGTAACAGAGACATGTGACGCAGAATGTGAGAAGGGAGACTAGAACGAGAGAGACAGCTCCAATGGATACAATCATCACCAGCTGAGACGACAGAAAACCCTCTTCCCCGTCTGAAAACAAAAATAAATCAAGTCAATAAAGTTAATATTCTCGAAAAAAAATTACCAACATATCTCATTCTTTACTACAGGGGGATAATCGAGGCAGAATGACCGAAATACAGAAATTTATATTAGCCAATCAAAAATAAGTATTCAACAACTCTGATGCCAAAGCATGATATTTCATGAGTTTTCTGTTATTCGCAGGAAATTTTCTACTATTCGATGATTCTGTCATGAAATATCCCCCTTTATCAGTACTACCAATTCAGCGTTATAGACTAAATTAATAAAATCAATCGGTAAATTGGAAGGGAAAAGGTAGGAAACTACATCAATTGCTATATTCAAAACATATTTTGATTCAGATACTAGATCATCGGGTTTTACATCATCGCACTTCAGCAAAAAACTTGCATGTATTTCAATTATCTCACCCTAAGGAATATGAGGGAAAAAGCAGGAAAATTGTAAGGTAGTATTCTGGTTCAGATAGGTTAACCAGAATTCTGGTACAATTTGATAAATGACGGGAGCCAACATGGTATGACTCAGTGGGGTCATTTCAATTTTTAATAAGGTGCCATCAAGTAAAAATAAAACAAACCCATTTCTTCAGATGCTAAAACCATTTGCAGTTATTATTAGTCGACCATATTAATAGTTTTTTAAAAACTTATTACCACACTAGTAGATTTGAATCCTTTCATCATGTTTTTCGAGTAAAAACTTGCAACACAATTTTTTCTTTTTTAAAAATCAGAGGTACGGTCAAAACTGCATTCCATATCAAGATGAGATAAGCAATGCTTGCGTAATAATCAGAATGCAATGATATATATAGCCAGGTTGCTGTGAAAAAAAAGTGCATCAAAAAGGTAAACTGTGCTTGCAAATGCATTTACAGAAAACACCAACTATTATATACAATTTTATGTAGGGAGTAAAAAAAATAGACAGGAAAGGCCAACAGTCGAACAGAGATGTACTTACTCAACATAATTGCACCTAAACAACATCAGACGCTTTTACATCACACCTTTCAGAATAACAATGTCTACCAACTGCTGGATGGGCGATAAATCAACTTGAAATCTAATTAACATTATTGCCCAATATTACAGCTCCAATTATCCGAGAATTTAGAGATACGAGTCAATAAGAGTCGAACAATAGATCAACTTGAACTTTTGAAATCACCTGAACGAGTGAACGAATTTAAATTTTTTTTCAAGTGAAAAAGCTCGGCGGATCAGTCGAGTCCATTGCTCGTCCTTTCTGAGTTTCTCCTCTATAAATGTAATTAGACAACACTTGATTGAAAACTGCTTTTATTTAACTCGAATTATTTCATTCTTTCCTCCTTTCTTTTTATAATTAATGCCAACTTGTTGGTAACTTTTTTTCGGTAATCGAGTTACAGCATCTACTCATTTCAGCACCTAAACGCCATGTCAAAAATCTAAATACCGATTCAGAACGGGTCAAAAATCTAAATACAACGATTAAATAGATCAAAAATCTAAATACCGATTCTAAACACCGATTCAGAACGATTAAATAGATCAAGGTCAAATATATTGGCAAAAATTCTTCATTAACTATAAAAACAAAACAGGCCACTAACCCTGCTCCTGCAGAAGTATGACTTTGGAGGTGATGCCTGCATCGTTGTAGGCGGTGCAGTTGTACTGTCCCAAGTCATCTGGTCCCACCTGGAAGACAGTGAGCACCATGGAGACAAAGTGGTCATGCTCTATCCTCTCCACCGAATACCTAACAAACACAAACAAACAAGGATAGCCGGTTGCTGTGCAAGTAGCACAGAATGTTCCCACCATATTCTTAACAAAATACAATAGTGTCTTTTTTTTTCTTCAAATTAGTGTCGTTTTTGTGCGTAGTGTGATAAACGAATCTGGCAAAAACCTAGAACTTATGCAAAATCGAGAATCACAGTATAACAGGCAAATTGGGCATTAATTGAGTAAAACAAATGATAAAAAAATCATTTAAAAATTCACAAAAAATTTCACGATTTTTTTTTCTTTTTTTTTGCATTTTTTTCTATTTTTAGATTTGCTGAGCTTTTTATTCCCAAAATCGCGCTAAAAAACTTTAAAAAAAACTTTAATAGAGTACAACTAAAATTTCATAGCCTATCCGTCTATAAAAAGTTTGCTAACTTGCTTAACTCGCTCGAAATTGAACTAAACCCCAAAAACTTAAACCCAGTTTCCCTCGACACAGGGACTTTTTGTCGTTTGAATCCCGACTGAAAGTGCTTAAAAATGATGTATCACTTTTACCATTCTGATGAAAATTTGTGGTAATTTCTGTTGTTTGAAAAACGAAATGACTTCTCACAAGCTTTTATCGCTCGAACTTGGACAAAAATTCAAAAAAATTACACTATTTTTCTCGATATTGGGACAATTTTTAATGTCGTTCGAATCTCAATTGAAAGGGCTTTAATATGATATATTACTCGACCCATTCCGATGATTCGGTGACACCTGATTTTGCGCGAAAAAAAACTAAAACACACCCGAATACAAAGTTCCTCCCCCACAAGTGTACATAGTTGGAAAAGGATAACCAAAATAACAAAATGAGTTTACCTACTCAAACGCCTAACACATTATAATGGAATAGTAAGCTCTTCGGAAATTTGTTTATTAATGAAGAACGATGAAGAACCTAACAAATACACAAACAAACAAGGATAGAATAGGTTATGTGATATAAAACTTCATTTTATTCAATAAGTTTTTCTATTGGCAAATTTTATTCTCGAGTAAAATAGGGATCAACTGTTCCATATCTCTCCGAATGGATTTAGGGAGGAAAATATAGATTTTTCAGGAAAAACTTTGATTATAGCCTAGATTAATACAAAATTGACAAACTTAATTGCGAAAATGGATTGGAAATACATTAGTTTAGGTCATTAACAGCATTAAACTGAACTCCTTTTAATACTCCTTTCCTTTAGTTCTTCAAGTTTTGACTTGCAGAGAAAAAAATATCACCCTACCCAATTGAGAAAACTGGATCAATAGAAAAAACTTCTATTTCGCTGGGAAAAAACTTCTAAATAGAAAAAACTTCTAACTAAATTCCGTTTTCGAAATTAGAAGTCAATCACGTTTTTCGTGGCCTTTACATTTTTGCTGTTCGATAGTGGAGTTTGCCTTCCTGATAACAAAAGAAATGGAGTGAATTTAGAAAGAAATCAAAAGTCAAACCGCCAAAAATCAAAAAATGAGGGTGAACAAATTATAACATTTTTTGCTGAAAAAAATCATCGCGACCTATATAAGAGTCTGAACTACGTTCATCGGCTGTTGAAAATGCCTTTCTCAGTGGTCAGAACAACAATAGGTTAAAACAATAGAAGAAAAGACACAGCTAAGGCTACATCTGAAGAAAGAAAAACAGAACAAGCATTAGAACTTGGCGATATGATAAAAAATGGCATTTTAAATAACAATAAATTAACAGTAATCATGTCTGTTCTATCAATCTAACAATTCCGAAGAAATCTATTAGTTATGCTACTGGGGAAAAATTGCAACGCTTTTAAAAACGCTTTCTCTAATTATTTGTTAAAATTAAGTTAAAATTGTATTAAGTTTCTGATGAAATTAAGTCTGGTGAAATAGACAATTCATATCAAAACTGCAAAAACAAATCAGAACAAGATAGAAATCAGTAAAAATAAATAGTCAAGTGTTGCAGCCAGTTGAAAAAGAATTGACAAATACTTGAGCAGAGCGGATCTAGCATTTTATCAACGGAGAACAAGTGATTAAGGAAAAAAATATTCCCGAATTTTTTCATCTTTTTGTAGGTCTACTGGACATTTTCCACTCTCTTCTGAAAGACCCCATTAAGGCAAAGTTTTGCAAAATTCAGATAGTTATGTAGTGTTTGTAGAAGTTTTGACACAAAAGTAAAGGTGTCGAAAAAAAACAGTGTTATTTGGCTAAAATTGCAGTAACAACAAAATTATCTTTAGAGATATTTTAGGGTCGGTCGGCCAAAAAATGATGTCGTAAAAACACCCTTAGGTACTGTCCGAAATACCAGTTCTTAAATCTTTGACGGAACATTTTATTCATGGCTTCATTGTGTTCCTTCCCCAAGCATTTTTTTATTTTGTGTAGAATTTTGCACATCAAAATTGTTAGTCTTCATAATTGCAAGCAAAATTTCATACCATTATTGTGGATCTGCCTGAAAACAACCACACATGACCTCAAAACATCGAAACCGCTGTGATGAAAGGTTCGGTCAATTGTCTCTAGCTTATACAACCATTATCTCTTTTTGATTTCCACGTGCCATCAAATAAATCACCATCAACAAAATTTCATACCATTATTGTGGATCTGCCTGAAAACAACCACACATGACCTCAAAACATCGAAACCGCTGTGATGAAAGGTTCGGTCAATTGTCTCTAGCTTATACAACCATTATCTCTTTTTGATTTCCACGTGCCATCAAATAAATCACCATCAACAAAATTTCATCTGAAATCAGAGGAGACAAATTTTGTTGGACAGCAATCAATACATTTAATGGTCACATAAATGGAGGCAAAACATGAAAAAGCGAGGAGAACCATTATGATACGGTACAGCTGAAACTCAAAATAGTTCTGCATGAAGAAACAAACATGCCAATTCTATTCTATTCATGATTGCCTTTCGTTCAATAAAAAAACATGGAGCATCTATTATGTTGAATCATAAAAAGAGGCTAAACAAAAAAATTTCAAGGAGCCAAACGTTTTTCAGCTCCGCGTTTACTTTATTTGAAAACGGAAATTATTTCTTTGCAAATATAAACACGTCTGCAGAAACGGAAAAACTTGTTTAGTTTTGAGAGCCGACGTCTCCAAAGAAATGAATTTAGGATCGATCGCTGGAAACACCAGCTGCATATTAAGTCTACTCCATTTAGAAATATCAAAGGAAAACTGCGTGACATCGAACTATTCAAGTCAACGAGGCACCTAAAAACTCAATCCAGACAATGCCGCAATTTGAAATTGCAAAATATTGCTTATTTTTACGATTGGAAAAAAAACTAATTCTCCTTTCGTTTCGCTCTTCTCTTCTCGCGCACTAACCTGTTGTAAACTTATTTGAAAACCAAAAATACACAGGCTCAATTTTTCACGACACTTGAATTTTTTTAAAATATCTTTTAAAACATAAATCCCGACTGAAAGAGCTTTAATACCACGCTTGATGCCCTACGAGCGTTTTTTTGCGGCTCCTGAAGCCACGTGAAATAATTCCTTACGACAAAGTCCCTTCCCGTTTCGTAAAATGCTGGGAACATTAATTCAAAAACACTTTTGATTAAGTTATATTGCCCACGCTTTCGCGATCTAATAATAGTTTGTTCGATCCAAGTTGACTATGACTATATAACGGATCCGTATAATTTTTTGCCCAATTTTAACCCACTGTTGTTCCGGTTACAAGAAGGGAAAGAACTATAACTATGGCTTAGGATAGATTTTTTCCGCCCACTTTTGAGTACCTCGAAAAAACCCGTTCAAGCACCAAAAAGTTCGAAAAAGTAGGCTGTGTGTCAAGAAAAACTGATCTGAACACTAGCAGGTTTTCAGAATAAATTAGACAACTTGATAAGATGCTGACCTCTAATTTTCATCCAGTTTTAACGTCATTTTAGCTATTTTAACTCCTCGTTTTTGCACTTTTTCACGTAAATCAATCACTCTAGAAAAAAAAATAAAATGAAAATTAGACAAAAAAAATATTGTTTTTTTTTCTAGTTTATCTGTAATCAGTGTGGTGCAAAAATTCAGTGCTAATTGTCTAGTCATCGACATCCGACAAGAAAATTAGACAAAAACGGATCAGCCATAGCAATTCCCCCCCCCCCCCCCGTCTCCTATCGATTTAGGGGGGATAAAATATTGATTTTTCAAAAATCAACTTGGAAAGCAAACTAAATTGATATAATTAACCAAAAAATAATAATTTAAAAAGAACTGTGAGGGGGAGATTGTACGGTTGATCCCAAAAACATTGTTTTTTCGATTTCATCTCTAAATAGTGTCGTCGGAAGATTCAGTGCTAGCCTAGCCATCGGCATCTCTTTCTATTATACTCACTTCTGAAAGTTTCCTTCCGGCATAGTGTGTCCCGCCCCTCCGTCGTGGCCATTGCTTCTCTTCCAAGAGACTAGTCCAGGAGTGACGACACTGGCATCCACGTCACACCTCAGCACTGCACTGTCGCCCAGTACCACTTCTACTTTCGCATCCATCAGAATCACAGGCGCACCTTAACATTAATGCTACATAGAATCAATCTATATAGAAGGGCAATCTATATAGAAGAGGCACTTAGAATAGTGGTAAGGCGCTCACTTTGAGATCGTCAGATCGTGTAACCGATCCCCTGCCATGGCAATGATAGTGCGTAAGGACGAGCTCTCACTTGACCTCTAGCTTCAGGTCTACCACAACCTGAGCGATTACGGCTGTAATAGTGGTACCACGTGAAAGTTCTAGACGCAAAAAACGTCCTTCAGTCCCAAAAAAAGAGCTTCGCTCAACAAATTAACTCAGTCTGGAATGTGGGGAAATAAGAGAAACAGATTATGCTTAGACAGGCTGGATGGCCTTTCATAGATCCTCTGCGAATCGCAGAAACCAGAATTATTATTATTAATCAATTAAGTTGTTGTTGGAACAAGTTGTTGTTGAATCACTTTTGAGCTTTCAAAGAGATATAAAAATCGGAAACCTGCTAAGCTTTGTTGTAGTTGCCTCAAGGGGCAGCGCATAAAGTTTCATCATTTCGGTTAGACTTCGTTTCGAATGGTCTTCGTTTTCCTTTAAAATGGTTAGCGTGCTAGTTCAATACTTCTTCAGAGAAGGTTGATCTCTTAGTTAGGGTTGTTTTCAGTACTTCCAGTGGAAGGTTGTTGTTTGCGTCGTCTCGTCCAAGTCTCACAAGCTTCGGCTACAAGCTATTTCAGAGTTGCATCATATTTGGATCGAAAAATAAATCAGCCAACATACAGTTGGAACTCCACGAATGCGAGAAAAAACTATCGCCGCAGGTGTTGATTAAGTATTAATGAGCATATTAAATTTTGCATAAAGGCTAATAGCCTTCAGCACATAAAGCCGGCAAAGGTAAACAAAGGTGAAACAACAGATAGACCATTCGAAATACAACCATGAAATCAAGAAAACCAAAAAAAAAACTAGTAATTTTTATGAAACATACATTCGACAAAATTGGACAAATAATCTCTCAAATTCAAAAAAGTAGTCAATCTCTGCTTCAATTTAACAGCAGAAGCGTTTTCTGCTGAGCATAGTTTTCAATCATTGTTGCCAATTTTTCATGCAAGCAGGTGTGTATTGTAATGTAAAAAAGTTGTAGAAAAAAAACGAGTGATTCTGTTGGCCGAAACTCGAGACCCATAATCATAACAGATTTCCTTCAAGGCCTATTTGCAACGTTGCCTGAAATTTGAGTGCTCAATTTCTGCTGTTTTTTGACGAGAAGTGCAGCATCTTCTCTGACTTCGAATGTGACTTTAATTTTCGACTTTAATTAATGAAGCTTATTATTGTATTCCTCTGAAAATTGAAAACCTAATCCACTACTGAGCAAAAAGACGACGCTGCATTCTTATTGACAATTAAAAAACATTCGTAAACAAAATTGTTAAGTTTCAGAAAAATAAATAAATCAGCTTTAAACTCCGGAAAACCAAACCCAGCTATGAACACAGAGACGATGCTGCATTTCTCATAAACAATTTAAAAAAAAAACGAATAATATTTGCAATTTTCAAAGAAACAAAGAAATGAGTTCAAATTCCGGAACATCGAACCAACATATGAATGCAGAGACGATGCTGCCTTTCTCATAGACAACTTGGAAAAATCAGCACTCAAAATTCCGGAAAAGACTCAAATAGGCCTTGAGAGCGAAACCTGTGGCAATTGTGGGTCTCAAAATTCAGCCAACGGATTCATTACCACTGCCTTTTTCTCATCACTTTATTTACTACAGCAGCATAACAGGGAACATCTGGGAAAAATTGAATAGATATAGCTCTAGCCGTTATATTAAAAGAAGTCCAATAATAAAAAAAAAACCTTGAATAATAAAAAAAAATCATTTTGTATCTATTTCACTTTAATTAATGAAGAGCGTATCCTTATCCCCAGCTGGAAAATCATTCAAAATCGAGTTTAAAATCAAACGTAGTCAAAAATCTGAAAAACGAAAAATGAGCCTGAGTAAAGTCAAAACCATAATGAACAGAGTAAACAGAAAAAAAAACTGGCTTATTTTTGAAAAACTTCATCTTTCGAATTTCTAAGTATAAATATATAGTCTCAACTCTCTTTATTAGTCTCAAAAACTAAGGGCATTCATAAATACGTTAATATTTATGAATGAACATCTGTATTTATTAGAATTTTAACCAGAAAAAAAAACACTTAAAAAACACCAAGACCTATATAAGAGTCTTTACTAAATTCATCGACTCTTAAAAATTCCGACTGCACTTTAGGATAATTTTGGTGGATTTTCAGAAAAAAAACAACAAAAAAATAAATTGAAAGTCTGAAATTTTGTCTTCATTATGTTGGCAAATCTTCCCACTCACTCAAAGTTTTTCTTCTTAGAACTCTTTGAAAATCAAAAAGAATTTATGATTAGAACTTTTTTGATAAAACTAAATTAATTTAAGAAAACTGGATCACTGGGTAAAGTTTTTATTTCGCTGGTTAATATGATAGTTAAATTCCATTTTCGAAATTAGAAGTCAAATCAGTTTTTTGTGGCCATTAAATTTTTGCTGTTCAATAGTTGAGTTTGCCTTCCTTGTAACAAAGGAAATGGAGTGAACTTAAAAAGAAATCAAAGTCGAACGGCAAAAATCAAAAAGGAGGGTGAAAAATTTTTAAATGTTTTCCTGAAAAAATAAACACAAAAAAAATAACTAAGACCAATATAAGACTCTTCAATGCGTTCATCGACTCCTAATCATCTTACGCTTTCTCAAGGCCCTTGGCACCTCAGCTTCAGACTTCGTCTCTTCGACTTGTATCTCTAATATTGAATTTGATTATCAAAGCGAGACAGGAATACGGTTTTTAGTTAAAAAACATACATTAAGCGTACATTTTTCAATACAGAGATTCGGACACATTTTTCTATCAAAAGACAATTTGCCTCGTTCACATATTCATTTCAAAAACCAATTTTTTCTAGTAGTCAATTATCTTTTATCTCTCATTTGCATTCATTTCCTGTCACGCCTCAGCATTCAAACTGTGAAGTCTATTTCCTTTCACCATAGGTGCCTTTTAGGTTGATGGATGATACTTTAAACAGCCGGAAACTATTTTCTTGAGCCTCACAGTCAGTGACCATAAAGGGCATAAGAGGAACATTGCATGCTTTTTTTTTACTCTTTAGCTCCATAGAAACAGAATCAGCCAAACGAATCAACCTTTTACTGATAGATTGACAAGCTCACTAACCAAGAAGCCTGCCTTAAACACAAAAATTCATTAACAATGTCTTAAACAATGTAAAACCGAAATGATATAAAACCGAAGTACAATAAACCGTTTTTTTTAAATCTCAACTATCAATTGTCCAACAAAAATCGATGGCCTTCAATTTCTTTGAACTTCTAGAACAATTTACGATTGTCTCTTTTTGATAAAATTAAATCTGAGCTGGGAAATCTGAAATTTAAATTCTGTTTTCGAAATTGAAATTTAACCGCATTTCCGAGAAAAAACTGTAAAAAACCATCACGACCCATATAAGAGTCGGAACTAAATTCATCGACTCTTAATAATCGACCTTTCTGTAGTTACAAAACAAGAAGACACTTGGTTTCGCAAGTGTAAAGATATAAATTTAATGAACTAGTCCAAAAAAATTTTCAGCAGCTTTCCCATATAAATGCATAATTTGTTTTGAGGACGATGAATCTGCTTTCTTTGACAACACATTTCAATTTTTTTTACTGCTACAAAAACAAATTAGATGCCACTTTCGTCGGAAACATGCTTCGATTCTCAACAATTAAAATTCAAAAAAAATACTTCAGGTTGAAAAACTTCAGCTTCAGAAGGGTAAGTACTCTCGGACATATACATGTACAATAAAAGCACATAATGACATGTCAGCGCCACGTCTTTTTATACCAAATAAGTGGTTTGTCTTTAGAACACAATTGATTAATATGCAGTTCAGACAGCTATGATTCATGCGGTTAGAAGAATGAGTCATCGGCTGTTGGTTCTCTCTACTATACTGGTCAATATTTTGACCAGTTGCAGTTCAATTAAATTTATACTTTTCTGACACGAGGAAATCACTAGTGACCCCTAATGCATTTCGAGGTCACAATGCGACTTAAATTGCCTTCATTCGCAAATATTGTTTCAAATGGGACAAACAAAGAGTTATTTACACCTCAAACTAACCCATAAAATTTACTATTATTAAGCCAGCCTTAATTTTTGACCAGTTAGGTCGATCATTGAAGGACCATAAAGTACATGTCGCTGACTTTTAAACTGTATATTTGTTTAATAGAGGTAGACATTGATCTGCGTTTGTATAACTTTTATGGGCTTTTTTTATCTTAAAAATGACCCCCAGAAAAATAGATGATGAATATTTTTGATACATGCTAGTAAGTCAATCTTAAGATTGTTTCGCCAGTCAATACACGTAGAAGAAACACACTTATCAAAACCCAATATTTATTGTTCCGACCTAAAATTTTGGCGTACGTAGTGTTTTTTTCCGACTTATTTTGACTACTTCAAACAAAACTCGGTCATGACTACTCGGTTATTTTGATTACAAAACTCGTTTATTTTGACTACTTCAAACAGGGTCAGGTCCAATGTGGTATCAAAACAGGGTCAAAAGATTCCAAAAAATCAAAAAGAGAAAAACTTGTCTGAATTTGTCTGATTTTCAGACTAAATGACACGAAATTGGACGATCATGACCAGGGGCAGATTTGGAAGGGGAGCGGGGCAGACGTCCCCAGTCAGAAATTCGACCTCTAGCCGACCCAAACGGTCCCCTTTGTACTATTTTGAAATATCCATTTTTGGTGACGGACCCTAAAAATTTTCTAAAAGTGCATTGGGCGCCAATATATATTAATTCTGAAGGGGGAGCGAGCGCGCGCCGAAAAAACGCGATTTTTTGGTCATAATTTTCCAAAAGGGCCTAAAAACGCCTTTTTGGCCCATTTTTTCAAATCTTTGCCTGCTGCGCAGAAAATTTGGCCAAAACAGACTTTTTAGTGCTTTAGGAGAGCTCGAAAAACCAATTTAGGCGACCTATAAAAAATTCGACAAAAATTTCAAAAATTTTTGAAAATCCGCCCTCCCTCCTCGAGAAAATCCTAGATCCACCCCCTGATCATGACCCTTTGCCCAATTTTGTGACTCCTAATTCAATTCTAGTGTAATTTTTACCTCATTTCATTTAGTTTTTCCTAATTTTTTCACCCAACGCAATTGCCTTATTATACAAAAAAATATAGAAGAAAATTTCTATTTCGAAAAAAATTCCCGATTTTTCAATTTCTTTATTTGAATCAATGCGGTCGAAACATTCCATGCTAATTCCTGTTTTCTCACCATATATTTGAACTCGTGTCGTCCCAGTTATTGGCTCGAACCCTTCTGAATACACTCTGCACGTGTATTCCCCATTGTGACTTTTCTCTGCTCTCTGGATTGACAACACAGATCCCGAGACTTCCCTGACTCCGTTTCGGATCCACTCCACCGAGGGAGTCGGCTCCCCCTCCGCTTCGCAAACTAGTTCAAACGAGTCCCCCTCTTTAACCACTTTCTCACTCGGCAGCTCCGATATGAACTGTGGCGGTTCTAAAGTGAAAACAAAAACATGATTATTCGCTAATAATCTTGAAACCTGAGTTGTATTAGTTTTTTTAGACTGATCACTATATCAAAAATTAAAACAATGGTTATCCTAAGCTTCGAAGAAGGCAAAACACAATAGATTTTGCCGACGTGTTTTCGAAATAGAACGCGACAAAAAAAGAACACAATTAAATTAAAATCAATCATTCCCAAAAAAGTAACGCAGCTATAACTATAGTAACTTCTTTTTTATGTGAAAAGATAAAAGGTTTAAACAGTGCTAAAAAGCCTTAAAGAAACAATGCTCTTGTTTTTCCAAATCTTCGTTAAATTTATTCCTTTCGATTTATCTAAAAAAAATTAGCGCATCAAAAACTAAATCAAAAACTATGCGCACAAAGAAGGCACGTTGATATATTTACAGCCATATTATTGCTAGCTAAGCAAAATTTAATTTCTTCCTTTTTTCTTTACTTTCTTTGATTTCAAACTAGCATAATTGTCGAAAAAATATATTATTGTTTTCATACAAGGAGCGGCGACAAGTCTTGCAATGAGACCCTTGAACACTTGTTGCAATCGATTGATCATCGCATCTGCAAAAAGTGCACAACTATTCTGATCAAAAAATGCTGTTTGAATCAGAAATTATAAACAAATTGGACCCTCATGCGATTTTACAAGCGAAGCGCTTGAAACCTGTACTCAGAGAGCTAAGGCAATATCCAAGCCAAACACTGCCGTAAATTGTCCTCATCAAGCTGTGCAATCCTTATAAGCTCTATGTCATGCATATATAGATTTTATAGAGACATATTACATCGATAATAATAAACTACGATACACATCTCCTTAATAGACTGAAACGCTTTCAAATATTCTCTTTTTAAAAATCATGCCCTAAACACAGCTTGATTCTATTTGTTTTGATTAATACAAGGTAGGGGATTGTGCACGTAGGGGGCTTTCATCATGACAGACCGACCGAATGCGCGGAAACTCACAGCCAATCGACCCCCAATGAATACTGGTTTCTGATTGGCTGCCATTGTTTTCGGGCATTCAGTGCGTCTAGCATTATTTATTCAGTTCCCAGGGAAAGGAATTGGGTTTTGAGTGCTTACGTGCGAAGTGTAGCAACAGAGAAGCAGAGTCCGTGAATGTTTTGCCCCCAATGACAGTAGACACTTGACACTTCAGTTCCTTATTCTCCATGCTCGAGTCAACTGAAGCAACAGAAAAAACCAACTTACTACATTAGTACATTGCATTCCAAAAAAAAACACCATTTGACATTTATTAACAAAAATAAAAAACAATACATAAAAACACTTGCGGTCAGATGCAACATGTGACATTATAAACAACAAAAAATAATACACATTGGACAAAAAAATCCGCATGGACAAAATATTTCAGCTAATTGTACAGAGCTGTTATTTTCTGAAAAACTATGCCATGAGAATAGTTATTTATCTTTATAAAATAAATGAAAATAACTCCAAAGTAAATGTATAACAGGAACCATTTCAAAAATATATTGTACGGGCAGGAAGTTTGTTGCGTGCGCAGGAATTTTTGACGGATGGGAAAAAATTGTACCAATTTTGGGTACTTTTAGGAACTTTTTGGCGCGCGCTCTCTAAATTGTTATACATCCTTGCCGAAGGAAAAACCTGGCAGCTAGAATTTATAGACTGAAGTTCTAAGCTAACCGTCGACCAGTATCGAATTGGTGTGCTGTTGTTGAGTGTTCCTCTGGGCGTCCGTGTTATCTGCGTCTGACTGAGTGAATGTGGATGATGCCACTGACAGTCCTTCGTCCCCTCCGTCCAGGGTCCACCTGTACTGCTGTGGGGAGGGGGCGGGGTTGGCGTCCACCTGGCAGTCGACTGCGATGGAGCGGTGCTGCGGGTGAATTAAAGTCGGACTCACTTTCAGAGAAACACGCGGTCCATCTAAAAAGAACAAACTACTAGAGAAGGAAGCAAACAGCCAATTAAAAAAGATACTGAGATCATGGAAGTACAATGAACTTTGTAAAATTTATTCAAACAGGCAAGCCGCTAAGTCGAAAAAAAACTAGATCTATGGATAAGGCTACTTTTGAGACAAAAAGGAGCCAAGACAATAGAATGTAAAACTAGCATCGAAAGAAGAAGTTGTCAAGCGGTAAGAAAGCCGGAAATATCTTAGCAGAAACCTTTCAGGCCGATTTTTTTTAAATTATGAAGTACCCCACACCCTCAAACAAACAAACAATGAAACAATATGCGGCTACTATGCCGATATAAAAATAGCAGAAACCTATTACGCTGAAAAAAAAAAGAAATTAAAAAAAAACAAAAACAAAAACTAAATTAGGACTAATAAAAAGTTATTAAGTCCCCCTCGCCCTCAAAACACAGACACGCACACACGAACTTTTTTCGCACGTCGAAAGACCCAGTATGGGGACAATAAGACGATCTAATATAAGCCAAAACCTATCAAGCCAAAACAGAAAAAGCCGAAAAAAACTGTTGTCATGAAAACTTGAACTATAAATTCTATCAAGGTTTTTAGCATTTTGTGCGATCCAGAGGTAAGCGTTTAAATTATGTTTTCTTGAAACGATTCGAAATTAGACCTTTAACCCGATATAGAATAGGCCGAAGCCTATTAATACGAAACAAAGGACAAACAAAATTAAACAAGACTGCACGTATCAGGGCGAAGCCCTGAATGTTCCGACTGCCTATTAAGTTTTATGGAGCAGTAATAACATTTAAAAAGTCAATGAAATAAAACAAAATGAAAAAAAAAATTTTCTAAAATTTAATTTTTTTTTATAAAAATCATCCCCCCACACGCCATATAAAGTACAAAAGGATAGATTTCGCTCCTTTTAACAAACCAATTATGGCAAATAGGCTTCTTTTAACCAATTTGGAGCAATTTCTAAGATGGATTAACTCTCCGCTTACGCGTTAATAATGCGAAATATATCGCGCGTCAATTGTCCCAAATTGGCCAAAATGGCATTCTTTAAACCCCCGTAACTTTACGAAAAATGATCACAGGTGAAATATCTTTTCAAATTTGAGCTCAGGACAACAATACCTTTCGAATGATAAAAAAAAATTCCGTCAAAAATGGCTAGTTAAAAAGTCGAAATTTGTCTGAAGAAAAAAAAACCCACCCCGAGCACAAATATTCCGTTACTTTCGTATCGAAAGTCGGAACAATAAAACAAATCGACTAGGAAAAATCACAACCAACATAAAAAGCAAATTTTGAAAAAGACGGATATTTAAAATGACAAACTCAACCATGCTTAGTATTAAAAGTGAGTCCTGTGGACAAAGTTGTTTACGGGGGAAAAAGTCTAGTACCCGATTGCAATACCCTTGCTTATCGCAAGGATGATCATAAAACTGAATCCTTCTTCAATGATTCATACTATTCACATATTTGGGACGACTTAACTAACTCAGTTCTTTAGTTCTTCCACTTTTGAAAGCCAAAACTTGATATTTTATGCCAAAGCTTTAAATTAAAATTTATGGCTCAGCAACGAAATTCAATTAGAAAAGCAGGAAGCCAAACACGGAAAAAATCTAGCAAGAAGCCATTTTTAGCACCAGGTGTCCAGGCCTTAATAAATTATGCAACACTTCATCCTGTTGCCCTTAGAAACGCGAAAAAGCAGAACGCCAAGGAAACAGATGGCGCGAAATTAAAAGAAAAAACCAACAATTAATTATAGAGCCGACTAACATACAATTTCATTTCAAACTCCTTCAAATTTAAACTTAAAAAAAAACAATTTGTTCTTAAAGACACAGGAAAACGCCATTTATTCGCTTGTTTTCCAAGTCTTCCATAATTCATGGTGCGCAAATTGGCTTTGAAACGCAGTTAATATGAACGGATGAACGGCAAAGCTCAAATATCCAAATTTAAAACATCAGCATGAAAAAAGAGCTTCACTATTATTCTTCAGCGTCTGCTCATATATTTACAAAACAAAAATAGCATTTTGAAAATGAAAGAAAAGCAAAGCATTACATTTCTCCTAATAAGGGAATAACGCCGCATCCTTTTAAATCAGCAGAAAAAAAAACGAAAAAAGAATTGGAATAAATTAAAAACGATAAACAAACAGCTATATGACTCAGTTGTATTAAGCAGTGTGTGCAGCTTGAATGGAACATAAAAACTATACATCAACGGGAAAATATCGCCCTCGCTTCTCCTAAAATACCCCTCCCCCATTAATTCCTAACAAAACCATTCCTAACAAACTAGGAAGCTATTTCTTTATAAACAATAGTGTAGCTTTTTCATCAGCTCAAATTGAAAGCATTAGTATTAGCGTCAAATTACCATATGTAGGGAAAACTAACAACTAGGATGTACTTTTTTTATTTCCAACATACAAGGTGACAAACTAATTGCTTGTTAATCATTTAATTTTTTAGTACCCGAAGGAAAGAGGTTATTGGTTGTCAATTCATGTCAAAAAATAAAGTTCATCACTAGGCAAAAAATAAATAAAACAAATGTTTAAAAAAGAACTTTCCAATTCAGATTATGTTTGGATGATTGACTTATGTTTGGATGCTGAAGTAAACTAACCCGAATATCGAATAAGATATTTTTTAAGAAAACACTTATGAACCGAGCACTCTTTTTGACTAAAATATCTATCTGCTGTCTTAGACATCTGCACCAAGTACAAAAATACAAAAGCTTGCTTTAAAAGCACATAATTAGTAACGGCAACAAAACAAAGTTCTTGAGATGCAATAGGCGCAAACTGCATCCAAATTTCAAAAACTGCGCCAGAAAAACGAGCCCTATGTTGTCCCCGTCCCTTAACGCAATGTCAAGTACTTTTGCACAAAAGGTGTGATGAAATTTTTCATCTGGTAACGAATTATTTGGACAAATTACAATTTGCCAAGTAACAGTAGAAAAAAATTTACGGCTTGGAAAACCCAAAATTAAGTTGCTAGGTTTCTTGTTTACAGCTTCCACACTTGAAGTTTACTTTGTCAAAATAACATCAAGCAAAAAGATAATTAAATCATTTCTTCTCGCCATCAGCATTTGCTATTTGAACGCTTGGTTAGCTATTTGTGGTTTTTTTACCATTTGCATTGTTGCTATTGGACAGCTTAATTTGCCCTTCATTGGTTCAATGAATAAAAATATTAGAACACAGGTGAAGCGGAGACTTGCACCACATGTTTTAAAGTAACATATTGCGAAAGTAGACTATGGGAAAATCTACGACACATCTTTTTTGCGAACAATTTCAAGAAAACCTTCTTGAGAATAAACTGAACCCACTTTCTAAAGCATACCCAACAGATAATTGGAAAAGCGTCAAAGAACGCAAGGAAACAAATACAGACTTTATGAAAAACTTCGAATTCAGAAGAAACATACGGCCTTAAAACTCTGACCAAGGAAGAAATATGTTAAAAGGAAATTTTTCATTCCATAAAGATTTCATGAACTTGTTGTGCCCTTTTTACTGCAGTTTGTAGAGGGTTCATCCTGAGTTCTATTTTGAAATTCAACCTTAGAAGTTCATCAAAGTACTTCACATACATTTGAAGTACATCAAATAGTTAAATGTTTTTGTTTGTTACTTTTTACTCAAGCAATCTTCTTAATGCTAACAGCGAGCAAAGAAGGAATCGCTAGATAATATTAACCGATTACTAGCAGCAATTTAACCTTAGACCACTGACAAAATTGTCCAAATAAAAAGGTTTTCATATTTAGTCGATTGCAAATAGAAAATAGTTTCGATGGTGCTCGTACTCACACAAGACATTAAAGCGAACAGTTGAGTTTCTGGCAGTGACATCTGCTTCGCTCTTCGCGTGACAAGACAGATCTTGCATATGGAGATCCATAGTCACTGCTGCCGCACTCAAACTCACTCTCGACTCCGTACTCTTTCGAGGGTCATTCGAATTCGGGGAATCTGAAACAATGTTATTCTTAATAACTTTGTGAAAGCTATTCCCGGGACAACTACTCAATTTCGTGCCAGTAAATGTATTACAACACCAGACGCGATAACATTGAACATAGCCACCAGAAAACTGGAAAAAGGTTGATCGAACTATATATTATTTACTCGTTGTCAATTATCGAGCTTTATAGAAATTTAACAACGTACTCAAGAAAAATGTTCTTGGACGTGGAAAAAAAAGAAGTAAATGAAGACTTTTACCTGAAAAAAAAACGAACCTCACAGCCTTAAAAAACAAAAGTACTCAATAATCCTAACTTCAAAAATTTCGAGATGATACCTTGAATGATAGGATCTGCAATTGTGAATCTCGGATCCAACTCCACTGATTTCCCATTGAGAGACCATGTGATCTCAGCAGCCGGATTTGCCAGTTCAGCCAGACACGATACTTCCACGTTGTCAGTTGCGCCTTCAGACGTTGTAATCTGAGTGCCACTTGCCGGAGTCATTGTCAAGGACTTCGTTGAAGCTGAAGCAAAGAAAGACATGCATATAACTCTTTACTGTCAAGCTTTACTGTCAAGTTTATTTGAATTTAGTTTTCACGCAAAAACCATAATTATCATTATTGGCCAAATTTTAAGAAAACGAAGGATAGTCGGTAGCAGTGCAAGTAGCACAGAATATTCCGACCATATTCATAGAAAAAAAAACTTTTTTTAATTTTCTTTAAATTAGTGCTTTTATTGGAGAACGATACGATCGCGTAGAGAATTAACAAATTAGGCATGATCGACAAAATATGTTTTCAAAAAAAACAAATGCCAAAAAAACTTTTGTATTTTTTTTGTACAATGGTTTAGATTTTAATTTGAAAATATTTATTGTTATATAAGCGCTGAAAGAAACAACCAAAACTAGTTTTCTGATAGTAAAATCAAGTTTGGTGAGCCTAAATTTGTTTTTAAAAAACAGTTACTCTCCATATAACGAAAGTTACTCGATCGCGTTTTCTAAACCAAATTGAACTAAACCAAAAATTTTGAACCAGTTTTTCTCGGCAATTTGAGAACTTTTTGGAATTTTCTAATGTCATTCCAATCACGACTGAAAGGGCATTAAAATAAAATGCCACTCAATTCTCTCAGATGATTGTTTGTGGTAGCTGATTTTGCGTGGAAAACAAAAAACTTAAACACACCCGAATACAAAGTTCCTCCCCATTTTCAATGGCGAACTACAAAAAAGTGTTTTCTTTTTTTCCTCACTTATGTGTCTTTTTTTTCTGTCCCTGGTGCTATGAGAGAACTACACAAACGCGTAGAAACTTACAGCCATTTAGGCAAACTCGCTCGAATAAATTAATTTCAAAAGCTTCAAACCAGTTTTTCTCGACACTGAGACAATCCGCTGATTATTTGTGGCACCTGATTTTGCGTGAAAAACAAAAAACAGCCGATTACAAAATTCCTACCATTTTCAATGGTCGGAACAAAAACGAATCTGTGAAAATAATTGATTAAAAGAAGTTTAATATCAGTAATGTACCTAATTTGATGCTTCAACTAAAGAATGACATTTGATTTACATTTTGAAACTTATTTCGCTACTTTGTGATAGATAAATATCTATCGATTCCTTTTTATCTCCAGGTTAGCAATAGTTTTAGCAATAGTTTAAAGGCGTGTTTACATTGAAACCGAGATTTCTCGGTTTCTGTGCATGCATTTTTGCCTAAAAATTAGGCTAATATTAAAAATTCTTCGTTGGGTGATAAATTCTCCGTTCTTGCAGACTGCTTGTTATATTGGCTAACACATGTAACTCAAGGCATAGATGTTTTGGTTAAATGCAGAGATAACTAGAACTGATTAGCACATTTATTGTTTTTAAAGCGTTCGCGTAAAGCAAAACAAGGACATCCTGTTGTTGCTACGCGAGCTTCATTTTTTTCACTTTTGTGCTGTTGCTTGCTTAATTTTTTTTAAACTTGAGAGGTGTCTGAATAAGGTAATGCGCCACTAAAATCAAATATGAAAAAAAAATCCAAAAAAAAACTTCTTGTGTTTTTCAGTCTTCCAGAATGAAAAACAAAAATATTAGACCCAGTTTTTCTCGACAATGAAGCAAACTTTTGGCTTTTCAAGAATCTGAATGATAGCTGGAAAACCTTTAACATGATACTACACTTTTCTCTTTCTGAACTTTCTTTTAGGTAGTCAATATCGTCCCCAAAAAAAAAACAGACCCCACGCCATAGCTTCTTCGCACTTCGTGGTCGGAACAATAAGACAGAATGAATTGTCGGAAAAAACTGAGTCAGTTCAAAACTTTTCTCCTTTGCGGTGTGCTAAATTTTGAATTAGAATCGAAGCATAATGTTTTTTAAATAACGGTAAAAAAAACCGAAAATCCTTTCAGTCGAAAAAAATTGCGGCAATTAGAAAAACCTACACAAACCTTAAAATTGCGCATTTACAGCCAAATTTAAAACAAATATCGTACACAACGGGCATTCAAAATGCAGAAATGCTCAGAATAGTTGTTTTTTGACAAAACTACAGATATGGAGATGAACACCATTTTTAGCTATCTGTGAAAAAAGTTCCTTTACGGGAAAAAAGAGTACCAGGTTGGAAATTCCTTGCTTATTGCACATTTATGCGCCCAACAACAAATAAATCCAATTTCAAAACTTTTTTGGATAATTCTTTGCAAATCTAGATTTAAAACTATGTAACGTAAATTATTTCAATTAGTAGCGTTAGCGGTGTCTTACTAAACACGAACTCTCTACCTCAACAAAACTATGGGAAAATCTATACGATACAGCATGAATCGAATCTCTGAACACCCTGAGAATGACTACGAATGCCTCAAAAACTGGACAGCAACTGCCCGACTGAGTTTTAGAAAATTTAAATTGACTATGAAACTTCTTCATAAGCAGGGCTGGTCAAAATATGTTTTTTTTAAAAAAAAACGTTTAAAACTGTTTTAAACGTTTTAAACAGTTTAAAACATGTTTTTTTTGCAAGAATTTATTTTTTCAAGCAACGCATACAAAATGCTAGTTTCTCAGTTTTCTCTGAGGAAAGGCTGTTCCTGAGGTCCCCTTCCACATACCCCATTGTGCTGAACGCACGCTCAATGCCTGCAGAGCTCGGGGCTAAAGACATCAGTTTGAGTGACAAACGACTCAATTCGTCACTAATGACCCCCAACGCCGTCTGCGCGCGAATGAAGCTTTTAGCCTTGCAGTTGGGCGTTTTTGCAAACTCGTCGCGCAAAGTTGCTCTTGAATCGCCGAGAAAAGTCAAGTAGTCGCCTTTCACAGTAGGGTACTCTGCATCAATCCATTCGAGTGCCTTTTTCATCACGCGTAAAAGAACTTCGCAACAGCTTTGTCAAAAGACGCTTTTTGATTCGCTGATGTCGTAACAACAAAAGTGTCCATAACCGGCTGTTTCGGAAGCCTGACCCCCGCGTTTGTCGAAGTTTGCCCGTTTTCATGAGACGCATAATGTTTTTTCATCCTGTCGACTAACGGCACCATCTCAGTTGTACAAGTTTTGCACTTGGCTCTTCCATTTGGCAATTGCTCAAACTTCTCCCAAACATGATCGCGTTTACGGCCAGTACTCAATCGGCTCATGTTTTAATCTGAAAAATCCATTCGTTGAAAATTAATGGTTTTGATAAGTAATCTCTGATTAAAAGCTGTATAATGTCAGCAAAACTTGCATGGCAAATGCGCACTTGATAGCTTGTTGAAAGAACTGCACTGTACGTGTTAATTTGGATGAATCAAGTAACAGCTGCCAGTTAAATTGCGTAATAATTGCGCCCTCGCAGTCGAAACATGAAACACTGTTTAAAACACTAAAATTGAGTCATGTTTTAAACAGTGTTTAAAACAGTTTTAAACACTGTTTAAAACAACCCCTGTTTTTTATTGACCAGCCCTGTTCATAAGTGTTTTCACTTTGTTCATACACACTTAATAAAACGTGCACTACTTACATAAAATTGTAAGACGACGTTTTATTGTCTGAGAACGAACAGGGGTATCGTCGGTCACTGCAGAGCACACGTATTCTCCGTCGTCACGGTAAGTAGCCTGGAACACTATCTTCCCCATCAGCCTGTGAGTTTCGTTTATAATGTCTAGAAAAAAATGGCATTCAGCAGCCTTACTCGTAACAAACTCAACCTAATCAAAATGTATGTGTCATAGAATAGTTGGGAAGCAAAACTACACAGATAAACGTAGCACCAAAGAACGCTTTTTTTTCATGACCGTTCAAACGCCGACTCAAAAGACTAACACAAAACCTCATTTTGACCCCATACGAGGTCTCTGTAAAAGCTGCAGTACATAATTTCATTCCAGGAGGAGCGAAAGATCCAAAAGATAAAACTTCATTCAAGATCACGAGTTTTTTCTGTTTATTGAAGTGAAACGTTACAATGGGTAGACCCACATAATCAACAACAAAATTATTCGATCGAAATTCTGTAAAAATAAACTCAACGTACTGTAAATATTGCTAGGCTGAGCTTCTTCCGGAAGTTCTGTGCTCCAAATTCCGTAAGGCCATCTTACATAGAAGTCGTAATCAGACATGAAAATATTCATCGAGATAATGCATTGAAACTCGGCTCTCTCGCCCAGCCAAATCGAAGAGCGGTCGAATTGCACTGAAGTAAGAGCTCGAACAGGAAGCAACGAATCCCCGTTATCATCCGCGCCACTGCTAGTAGAACATATGTTCGCTAAAATTACCAAGCGTTAGTCAAAAATAGTTAGGTAGATCATCCTGAATATTTTTCTCGGTAATTATTTTCAGATAAATTTTATATTGAACGGAATTTGCATATTTCACTTTTGCATAACCTGAAAAATTCAAATATGAGTTTGGTTCCTAGATAGAAAAAAGGCAAAAAAAACTTACAACATGGAATGAACTAACCTTTGCATAAAAGCAGGCAGATGATTACGTAAACATCAGACTCCCTCCCCAGCTTCGTCCGGAGGAGCATCTTTAAGAAGCCGATTGATATGTCCGAGTTAACGATATGTCATGATAAGTTTTGAAAGATAAAGGTTCCACCAAATCATGATTTGTTTATTCTGCACATAGTATTTTGTTTATTATTTAGTTATTTAATCTACAATATAAAATCTGAAACCAAATATCAATTGAATGATGAATGCTTTCAACGAATCTAACAAATCTGATTGGTTTAAATTCAAATTAAATTCTTTCTTTTCACGGAGGAAATAAGGCTTCAAAACTCAGCAAAAAATCGCAAGAATAAATCAATTCTTATCTCCAAACTATCCTTTTTATCAAGATTAAGCTTATCCGATTGGTAAGCGAATGACACCGAGTATTCCAACTAAATGTTTCATCAAAAAACTTCACGGCTCTTCGGTTTGTTGACCATCCAAAATTTTATTGCTTTACGACAACGTTGAAATAGTTTTCCAAAACGAAATTCAAATTTGACGGAAAGTATAAAACAGCCAAACACATCACTACAATTTTCAAAAAAAAATCCCGACATGTTTTGACAAGAACCTGGTCAACCGGTTTGACGAGGAGGCATGACTTTAAAACGTAGCGAAATTATTAATCGGATTAGATGGATCAGATACAATCAATGACACTAAGGCAAAACTGCACCTTAAAGTTTTTGTTATATGCGCAGATTCTGTACAATTCCAAAAACTTTTGACTGAAAAACGTGCTGAAGAACACTTCATGTAGTTTCGGACGGACTAATAACGTACTATGTTAAATTGGTTTTGCGTTTGAGTTCTCAACCAATCAGTATGAGCATTTAACACACAGCGCGCTTTGCACCTTTAATTTATTTTGAACGCTGGGATGGCGGATCTCCATTTGATCATTTGGGAGGGATGTTAACTTGATAATAATCACCTGATTAACATATAATTATTTTCAATTTCTTTTTTTTCCGTACGAGATTGCTCATAACAGAAACCGGTTTTGGAAAACAAACAAACTTTTCGGGCCATAACAACGCCTCATCGAACAAACGGCCGGGCCTCTGCATATTTTGTCAATTGCCATGTGTTCTATTCTGAACCAGCATAAAAATTGGCTTTCTGATACTGAAGGCTTCGCTGAAACTACACGGCCAAACGCAGCTGGCACAGAAATTTCAAGCACTTTCGTGCAAGTCAGAGGATTTTCATTTAGAAGTATGGTACTGTTTAGAACCAATTCCGAAGTATGGTCTCGTGAAAACACCAATAGTCACATATATAAATCCTACAAAGTTTTTTAAGGTAGTTTCTAAGTTTTGCCACTGAATTTTTATTTGTGGTAATTTCATGTTGAAAAGAACTTTAGTGGCATATCTATAGAAGAAATGTTTACAAGTTTTCTTTTTAATTTGATCAAATTGAATTAGTGAAAATTTACTAAACTCGGACGTTTCGTACTTGATCACGCGAACACTTTGGTGTCTATTTTACTTACACTAGTGTACAAAATGAAGCGCACATTCAAAATTTTACTCTCTAAAATGATTGTTTTTGATGTCCATTTTGGACAACACTTACTTTGAGATTCAGTAAAATTTTTACATAAACTCAGAGCAAATGATCAGAGCTATCCTCTAGTGCAGGGTTGTATCAGCGCTAAGTGATTGTTAACAAACCGGAACCGAATGCCTCTGCAGGAACCAAGAAACGGACCCGGTTGGTTCATCACCAGAAACCGGAACCGACGTTAAAGACGGAACCGATCGATATCGAGCTAACCTAGGTGGGTCTGAGATTGGACATCAACAAGCGTGGCAAAAAAATATATTTCAAACGTATATTTTGATTCGAAAATACACTTCGCGAAAGATTTGCCGGATATAAGCGGTTCTGCATATAATTTCTGCTGAGTGTGCAGAATGAAAACATCCTCTCAGGATCCGAGCTAGTTGGTCGAAAATTGTTAAAAACTTAGAACACTCAATTCTTGCACCACTCAAAACACTTTAACATTTTTCTTTCAAAAATTACCTAACATTACTAAGCATTGCTACAAAAGATGAAAACTTTTCATTCACACATATTGAAAATCAACTTTTCGGAACCGACTGGGACACGAAAAGTGACGAAACTGTCAAATAATCGGGGATCGGCACTATTAGTAACCGGGACCGAAACCGTAACCCAATTATTACAATATCAAGAAGCGAAACCAAATTGCCAGGAACCGGTACCGGAACCAAATTCCTGTATAAAAAGAAGTGGAGTTGGAGTCATACTATTTTTAGCATCATCGGTATCGATTGTTTAGATAAATTATTTAGCACGTAGATACAGAAGAAGTGTTAGAAACCGACAAAGCATCAATGTAGAAAGTAGAATCTGAAGGTGGATTTAGACAATTCTGAGAACTAAGAAGGCTTAAGGCAGAAAAAATTTTAATAGTAAAAACATTAGAGAGAGTAGTTCTAATAAAGATTGTTTAGTTTAGTTTACTTGTCGCTCTATAGTTTTGTCTTTCCCTTGTAGCTAGCATGATGTCATCTTCTCGATGTACATGTTGTTAACCATTTTAATTTATTTTTAGATTGAGTCTCTGAATTTGTTTTCAGCTTTATGTCCCAGCTGTCATCGAGTCTTCTTCCAGAAGTGAAGGTTTGTAATATTCGCCCAAATACTACACAGTGACGGAGCGTAGAAAAAGTACCTATTGACGACTGGTCCGCGTCAATTACCTAAATTCTACTCGTTTTCTGCCGTCTCGACCTAGCCAGTTGATTTTCTGGTCTGTCTATGGCTAAGTAGAAAGTTACTGTTTTCAGGCCATCATTCAAACGACTTTTAAAGAGCTTCCGTTTACATGCGAACACAACCACATAGCTGGGTCTCGGATCCTCAGACTACGTGATTGCTATTAAAAACACGGCTCGAATGTCCTATTTTTTAATGTTTTTGGTGACAGTTCTACATTAAATCCATTGGAGATGGATTGATCCTTTCCTCTTCCTAGCTACTTATATTCTAAAAAATCAAATTATACCGGTTTTAATTCAAATGTTTATGGCATCAGAGTAGCTAAAAAGTCAGTTCTTTATAGTCCTTCACCATATACAGTCTCTGGAGGGCCGAGCCTCCGCTTCCGTGATTTCGCTGTAATAACAACGTTTTTACTTCCAATTCGTGGCACGGGAGGGTACCGCTCTTTTTTACTTCCCCACTGAAGCAGGGATGTCGAATACTCGGATTTTTTGATATTCGTTATTCGCCGCGGCCCAACTATTCGATATTCGACTTCGGCCGAATAGTGCCCTTACTATTCGGATTCGGCTTCGGCCAAATGTTACTACTCGAACAACTATTCGGATATTTGGTTATTTTCCCAAAAAACTTAGCATAAAAGTTTGATACAACAAATTCTATAAAAAGTTTTGAACATAGCATTTTTCAAGTAGAATTGGCTGGGACTTGCGTAATAATGTAAAAATCGCGGGAGTGAGTAAATGTTAAAAATCAGTCACAACTCACAACCCAGTTTTTCGAGCTAAACCGACTGAGATCGCTAAAAACAGAAAAATATTGTGAAACAAAACAGTAAACCAATATTCGGAATATTCGGGTTTTTTAGCAGTGGACCCTGGATTATTCGGTATTCGGCAAAAAAAATATATATTCGGATTCGATATTCGGATTTCAAAATTTTAATATTCGGATTCGGCTTCGAAGTGCCGAATACTCGGTATTCGGGTCGAATACTCGGATTCGAATCGATATCCCTGCACTGAAGTCTCCTTCCTGGCTGATTCCCTCTGTTAAGTGTCTTATTGTGCGTGATTGTCACGATAAGAGGCTTTGTGTTTTATTTCGTTATCGTTCGACTGTTTTTCACTATTTCAGCTGTTGTTTTGATTTTTTCTGTTTTTCGGCTCAAAATGGTCGTTTAAGCATTTCTCAGAAATGTGACGTCACGATTAGAAATTTTGAAAATAAAAATTTCCAGAACATTCCGACCCTCTTTTTTACTAGTAAATGATCGTTAAGGCCTCTAATTCTATTTCCGTGTTGAGTCGGAATGTTGCGCTGTGTCAATCCAGCGGAATGGCACATACTCCCCAGACAGTCCCCATTGATGCCCTCATTGATCGCGTAACACCGGGTTATCATCAAGTAGTGTTCCAGTTCTCTATAATCAACCTTACAAATCGCATTAGAAAACGAAACTTATCTACTCCACCTCAACTCACTACCTGTCACAATTGGCATCATACTACATCGCACTGCCTTTCAACATTTTCACAAACTTTGCACCATGAGGAGATCCTAGATTAAATTTCTTTTCTGACTACTTACGTCATCTGGCCATAGAATTTCTTTTCGCGCTTGCTGGATTAAAAGTTTGGGACGTGGCACGGCCACGCACCCATTACCCATTAAAATTAACTTAATGTCACTCACCAAGTATAATCAGTTATTTATGCTGTCGTCCTCAATAATAAAACTAAGAAAATCTGTGACTAGGAAAGGTCACCAGAAACCGGAACCGACGTTAAAGACGGAACCGATCGATATCGAGCTAACCTAGGTGGGTCTGAGATTGGACATCAACAAGCGTGGCAAAAAAATATATTTCAAACGTATATTTTGATTCGAAAATACACTTCGCGAAAGATTTGCCGGATATAAGCGGTTCTGCATATAATTTCTGCTGAGTGTGCAGAATGAAAACATCCTCTCAGGATCCGAGCTAGTTGGTCGAAAATTGTTAAAAACTTAGAACACTCAATTCTTGCACCACTCAAAACACTTTAACATTTTTCTTTCAAAAATTACCTAACATTACTAAGCATTGCTACAAAAGATGAAAACTTTTCATTCACACATATTGAAAATCAACTTTTCGGAACCGACTGGGACACGAAAAGTGACGAAACTGTCAAATAATCGGGGATCGGCACTATTAGTAACCGGGACCGAAACCGTAACCCAATTATTACAATATCAAGAAGCGAAACCAAATTGCCAGGAACCGGTACCGGAACCAAATTCCTGTATAAAAAGAAGTGGAGTTGGAGTCATACTATTTTTAGCATCATCGGTATCGATTGTTTAGATAAATTATTTAGCACGTAGATACAGAAGAAGTGTTAGAAACCGACAAAGCATCAATGTAGAAAGTAGAATCTGAAGGTGGATTTAGACAATTCTGAGAACTAA